TTGAGTATTTCTTCGTATCATTACCATTGGCTGCACCTAAAGGAAAGAGTGTCAACGCTACCTGGGTCAATCACTGCAAAGACTGGATCGTCTTTATCTCTTTCTCGGAGTTGTTGTTGACATTGTTGATTAGGCCGTACTAATTAGATGTAAATACGCGTGATAAGGTTTGCCGAGTAGAACAAAAAACGATGAGAGAAAGACGACCATTAATATCAGCGGCAAAGGCGAGTCATCAAGTACAGGCAAAACTCACAGTGCGGACGCGCCAGCAAGTACGGACANAATACGCGTGATAAGGTTTGCCGAGTAGAACAAAAAACGATGAGAGAAAGACGACCATTAATATCAGCGGCAAAGGCGAGTCATCAAGTAATGTGAAAATGTAAAGGTGTGAAAGTGCCTAGTATACTNATGAAAGCTGCGATACAGATTTTGTCCGTACTGTGAGTTTTGCCTGTAATGTGAAAGTGTAAAGGTGTGAAAGTGCCTAGTAAACCGACTGTCATTGTCAACTTTGCTCTCTGGAAAACTTAGACTTCAGTCAGTCAAGTTCAAGTGAATTTTTAGTACATCAATTTGAGCCATTTTCCGTCTTTTTTCTTCTTGCGCAACGCCGCCATCATCACGTCTGCAGGAAAGGGAAAATTGTTCCGCATCCACTGCTGTTTCAATTAATAAAAAATATCTTTTTACAACATGTTTATTGTTTGTTTGCTTAACATGAAGCAAATTTCAACTTATACGACAATTTTCTTTAGAAATAGCTGCCCTATTGGCCATTGTTTGCGGTAATTACTGCTCTTTGCTAGGGCAATCGTATTACAGGTTGTAATTTGAGTCAGTTTTTTCAACAAAAACGGCATTTTTTGTCTAGAAATTGTTCAAAAATTCAATTGAAACAGTGTGCGAGTTGTTATTTTTTGTTTGCTTTCAATCAGCGCAAGTATATCAATTTCTCTGACAGCTGTTTGTACAAGGAATAAAAGATAAAGAATGAAAATACTCGATGATCGATCAAGAAGGATGATGCCCTCACTTCTGCAAAAAGCATCATTGACTTTGAACTTTCTTCTTTCATCCAACTGCTTTAATGTATTATTATTAATATCGCCAGTTGTACGATGGGACACAGGTTTTTCTTTTCTTTTCAACTGACCTTCTATTTTCCCTTTCTCCCTCAATTACAGCTAAAGTCGGCACTTTTCGTCAACTGAAAAAAGAAGAGAAAGCGAGCAGCAGCAGCAGAAATGTGGCAGCAAACATTGTGATGACTGTCAAATAGAGGGATGACAATTTAATGTGGATGATGATTGTTATGACTACTGGGAGAGAGGAATTGGAACAAACAGTTAAACTCAACAGGTAGTTGCATTAATTGCCACTGATGACTACTGCGAGGAAGTAAAGCTGTGTAGCACTACTTGTAGCTAGACACTCAATTATTTCTCTATTAGAAAATTGGAGTAATTTTTTAAAGTGCAACTTTTAAAAATTTAACATTACTAAAAAACTTTTTGTTTTTCATTTTGCATAAATGTGTAGTTTAGAAAGGAGCTAGATCATAAAAAGACTTTTGACAAATATTCAGACAGCTAGCCTCTCCCTAAGTGTATTTGCTTACCTGTCTAGGTTTATTGAAAAAACACCATAGACTGACAAAGAATAAAGCAACCACTTTTCAAGGCCGCCATCCTTTTAAGTTACATTTTTCTAATCTGTTTGTCTGTTAACTTGCAGAACAGCAGTCATTTTGAGCGAACAAGTAGTCATTCAAATGGTTTTTCATAGCTCTAATGATCCTATCTTCTTTTTCCTTTGCCTTTAAATGTGCATTTAAATATTTGCACTAAAAGTGCTCTGCAATACTTTTGTTGATCTTTTTGCTCATTTGAGTGCAATTGCACCTGGGCACAGTTCAATAAAGTATCTCTCGCCTTCAAGGGCACTTTAAATTTGCTACAATTCAGCCACCCATTTCACATGTTTTAAACAATTAGATCACGTTAGCTACCTGTTCTTAAACGAATGTGTGTCTGTTCACAATTAAAACAACAGTTGTGTTTAATGTTTTACTTTTGTTTTTATTGTTTTCTTTTATTCTACACTATTTGACATATGCCCAATGCAGTGTGTTTGACAGGTGCGAAAAGTAATTATTGCCAAATGCACAGAAGACTGAGGCAGAAGACAGAAAAGATGCGTCTTTTTACTCAAGTCGATGTTGCGAATAAGACTGTTGTTGTTGGGAAGATGTTTGCATTGTCTGCCATTGCTGTGTCAATTGATGCTTTCTGTGTGTGTGCAATGTCATTCCCACTGGAAACGGCAAAGGTAATGAATTTTAATTAAAAGAAAAACATAAACGAGAAGAAAAGTGTTTGTTGCCTTTGTCTTTGTGTTCTGCTTGTTATTGCTTTTTATCGGTCGTTGATAAGGGAAAATGCTGGCAATGGCCAGCAAAACTAATTGCCGACTTGTGAACTCCTGAATTAAACAATAGTGGTTGTAAATTTAGCAAGCAGAAATGGCCATTTTTCTAGTTGTTGAGATTGGGTAATCTAATCTGACACTTTTCTGCTGTTGTGACATTATGTAAGAGAAATGATAAATGATATCCTCTATTTGAATTTTAAGCAATAGTCGTAGCTTACACTTGCAAAGTACTCTGATGTACGCCTACTCTTTTACTTGAAGAGCTACCCAAATTTGGGGTTAGATTTTACACTGTTTACTACCGTTGTTTACTTTAAAGTAAAGCGTTGCTCGTGTTTTGTTTTAAAATGAGGTTTAGATGAGAAAGGAAATAAAATGTAGGCACACTTGTGAACATTACCACTGGAACTCTGCAATTACAGTGAAAGTAAAAGTGCACGCATATGTGAAGCGGCCTGTATGTAAAGAAGAGCATTTCATTCAAATAAAACAGAGTGCTTTAAAGTAATGTGATACTTTCGTCAAGTGCAATTTGAAGATGATGACCCTTGAATACAAAGAACACACAAAGCACGACCGGAAAAGGAAACCAAAAATTTAGCGTAAAAAATTTCTTAAGTTTTGCTTCTGAACTAAACAAAATTGATAAAGTGTGATTTTTATTGGTCAGTTTACACAAGTCACATGAGTAAATTAATTGAGGCAAAGACAAGATGGTGGCAAAAAAGCGTAATGCCTGAAACGGTGTTAGGATGTTTGCCATTTTAATCGTTGTTTCAATACAAAAAATCAAGTTGTGTTATATCAAATAAAAAATATATTACAAAAATACATTCACCTCGAGTTTAGAGAACGGTTTTCAGTTTTGGACACTCCTGCAAGTAAGCTCTGGCCGACTGCTCGCAATTCTCAATCTGCTTCAGACTGCCTCGAGTGCCTTCAGGAGCACAAATGACGCAACGATGAGTAAAGTAGTCGAATGCAATCACCTCGAGGTTCGGGTAAACACGCGGCAAGTGAAGAGCACTCATATACTCATGCGTCGGCAAGCAGACCGTCAGCCGAAGAGCCCGAACAGTGGACAGCACGGGAAGTGGCTCACTCACCTCGGGAATGTTCTGGTGATTGTCGATAATGTGAAGTGTCAGTGTGCTCAGCAGGCGGAGTGTTGCTAGTCGAGGAAGAGCGACGTCGTTCAACTGGCAGATGGTGACGATGCCTAGCGACAGTGTGGTGAGGTTGCGGAAAATCTGATGTACCTGATTGAATGTGAAAAGCTCATCGTGGATTGGCTCAGCCACCAGGAGGTTGATTTTGCTGAACCACGGTGCAACTCTCTGAGGATAGTCCAGAAAGGAAGAAAGAGTGGAATTGGTTGCCACAGAGATGCTCCTGGGAAGAGTGCCCCCTTTGACCAGTCGGTTGAGCAGGTGATGGGTGAGCTGAGAAGAAGTGGAGGCAAAGTGAAGGCGTTCTAGCTGACGGTCGAGAAAGTTCAGCGGCATGTAGTTCAGCGGCAAACTGTTGTCCACTTCAGGGTAGACGTCCAACTGGAGGGACAGTGACTGCAGGCACTGGAGATGGTCGATTGCGTTGAAGAGCCAACTGAATGACACCCTCAAGAGGTCAGCGGTTGCTGGCTCGGGTGCACTGAAGAAGGGAGTGCCTGCTTGAAGTGCAAACTTGACCGTCAGATGAGTGAGCTTGTCTCGGAGACGATAGTTGCTGCCGAGGAAGAAGACTGCCGCGTCCAGATCGGCCACTGAATCGTTGATGGTGATTGAAAGACTGCTCAAGTTGGCGAATAGATTCGTCATTTCACGAAGGTTCTCTTTCGTAGGGGCAGAGGGCAGAGAAAGAAGGTTCAAGTTTGCGTCACTACTGCTGGAATTGCTCAAGTAGGCAGCTATTTGGTCGTCGTTGGTGAAATTTTTTAGCCCACTTGGAAAGGTTGGAAACCAGCTGAGACTAGAGTTGTTTGAAGATTTTGGCCGTTGATCGTTGAGCAGCACCAGTGACTGACGACGAAGGCAACCTGCAGGAATGAGCTCGTACCAACGACGGCACACCAACTGCTTGTTGAGCAGCTTCTTCAGCGGCAAAGTGTCGAAAATATTCAGCAGAGCGACATCGGGCAGGTCGAGAAAAGACATGTTGACGTTGAGAAGACAGTGTGATGATGGCTCTTTCAGATCCAAAGAGTGTGTGAAGTGCTCGTGCCTCAGAGCAGGAGGTTTTTATAGCACACCCTAGGTCCTTTGGGAGAATGATAGTGGGGAGTTCAAACTCCTGGGAATTTAGAAGCCAGTTTCAAATGAACTGTCGACGAGAGACTACCATTTTTTCTTCTCCCCGCCTTCTTTGAACTGACTTGAAGCACCTTTTTTATAATACATTGATATTTATTGATGCAAACAGTAATTAGGAAGTGTAAATACCAGTAAATAGACTTGTTGAGATCAAAGTTTTCTTATGCTATTAGAATACATAAAAGTTGCTAGTTAGACAAAAATCAGTTGTAGAGAAATCAATGTTTGAGAGCACAGCATTTAAAAAGACATTCACTACTGAAGATTAGAAGCACGGTTAAAATTAGCCATTCGGCTTGAAATCTCTCTTTGCCTTTCAACGCACTTCTGGCAGAACCACGACTCTTGGCCAGACGGTTCCTCGGTGATGCCTTGGCACTCAAAGTGATACCACTGGTCGCACTCATCGCAGGCAATCCACTGGGAAACATCATAGCTGGTGGAAGTGGCGAGGCGACAGATGCCGCACCGATATTTCGGATCAGATTCATCGTAGTCATCATCATCCTCCTCATATATAATTTCCCGTTGCAAGGACATGCTGGTTGAAGGTTGGCTTTTACAGGGTACACAGTACCAGACTGTGTCAGGGCTAGGCGGACTGTAGATATCAGCACACTTCCAGTGATACACTTGTGAGCAGATGTCGCAGCGAACCAAGTTAACAGACTCTTTGATGGCGACTTTGCAAGTTGGACAAGTTTCCCTTTTGTTTTGTTTTTTAGTTGGCTTACTAGGTGATCTATGCTGGGCCCCAGAGGTAGATGATGCTCCCAAGTTCACTTGATCAGCTGAAGAATGAGAAACCCTATTCTTTGTCGATTTCTGTGCCGATTTAGTATGCGGCAGGTAATGTGTGCTGGGAGAATATGGAAGATGTGGCAGCTGTTGGGGAAGAAAAACTGGCGGCGGCGATGTCGTTATTGTCACTTGAGGCTTTGTCTGGTCCTTCCGCGGCCGTCCTCGAGGACGACCCGTAGGTTTGTACCCACTGGAAGAAGCGGTAATGGTGACTTTGGGCTTTGCAGCATGGGCTGAAGCGGTAGATGAACTGCTAGATAGTTGAGCTGGTAAGTTGCTGCATTGCTCAATAGAAGGTATGGGGGTAATAGTTGTGCTGTCATCAATCGAACTAGACTTTTTCCCCTTCTTTGAAACGGTGTCCGACTTCTTTGACTTTTGATTTTTGCAATCAATACAGAACCACTTTTGATTTTTGTCAGGCGCAGTGATAACGCCAACGCAATTGTAATGGAACCAGTTGTCACATTTGTCGCAGCCAATCATCGGATTGCCAATGTCGGGAAGACCACAGAGAGGACAATGCCACTGCTCAGTCGTGACATCGTCTGATTTATTTTCGATTGTCTCCGTTATAATTTTAAAGTCTTTTGATGACTTGGTCTCGCGCTTTTTCTCTTTTTTGGGCAACTTTTCAGCATTAGAATCTCTTTTGCGATGATGCTCTTTCTCAGTCTTTGATTCTCGGGACTTGTGTTTGGCTGAAAAGCTGGCTGAAGCTGAGTCAATACTGGTGTTTGAGTTATCCAAGAGACTTGTGGCCGTAGATATTATCTTAACCTTAGGGGCATCATTCGTGATAAAAACCGAATCACTTCCCTCTTCAAGCTGAATCTTTTTCTTTCGGCCTCGTTTCTTTTTAACCTTTTCAAAATCAGAAGCAGTGTTTTCAGTTGCTAAATATTTTGGAAACTCATGTTCAGTGGATATTTGAGAAGATGTGTTAATACTTTGTGAATGATGTGAATGATTGCTGCTTTCCGCGATTAAATCTTCGAAATCTATCAATAAAAATTGAAAAAAATGTGTTATAGTAGTGAATAAATAATACTCTTAATACAAACCGATAGGCGTTCTTTGAAAATCAGGACCCAAGTTGAAACTAAGTTTAGGTTTTAATGTCTTTTCTTTGTCCTTGTGTTTTTCCCTCGANTTTGTGAATGATGTGAATGATTGCTGCTTTCCGCGATTAAATCTTCGAAATCTATCAATAAAAATTGAAAAAAATGTGTTATAGTAGTGAATAAATAATACTCTTAATACAAACCGATAGGCGTTCTTTGAAAATCAGGACCCAAGTTGAAACTAAGTTTAGGTTTTAATGTCTTTTCTTTGTCCTTGTGTTTTTCCCTCGATTCCTTGCTCTTTTTGAGTTTCTCTTTATCTTTTTTGTGCTTCTTGTGGGCTTTTTCTTCACGATCTTTATCTTTGTCTTTAGAAAGCTTTTTCGTCTTTTGCTTTGACCGATTATTTTTACCAGTGTCATGAAGCTGGTCAAGATACTCTAAAGTAGAGACTTTAGAAGAGTGCTTTTCTGCTTTCTTATGGCGAGCCGAGCTGCCAGAATGCTCCAATGATGAAGAAGCCCGTTTAGAAAAGTCGGAAAAGGGTGATGCAAGAGAAGAATTGGAAGACATGGGAGAAACAGAATCGCTACGCCTTCGAGCAGATGGCGAATTGCTGCCATCCCTGAAGTTCATTGATGGCTCAGGTAGTGGTGGCAGCAAGGAGACGGGATTAGAGTCAATGAATGTATCGTCGTCAGTTGAGTCGCCCGAGCTTTCAATAATTTCCGCCGACTTGACAAACTTTTTAGTGCTGCTGCTCTTTATCTTTGGTCGCTTCAGAGGGCGGCCCACCTTTTTAGGTGTTGTCTTGATGCTACTCATGCTGACGTTTGGATCAGTCATTGAGTCATCTGCACCAGCACTGTCAAAACTGTCAAATTTGCGTTTACGGCCTGCCTGGTCTCCGGTAATATTAGATCCAGACAAATTAAACAGCAGTTTGGCTGCCTCATCTTCTCCGAAAACACTTTGAAATGTTTCCGTTTTCAATGATGACGAAAGTGGTAGCTCTCCGTCTTTAAAGACAAGTTCAGTCGGGTTTGTGGAAGCAATAAACTGAATTTTTTTCGGTCGTCCTCTTTTCCTTTCCGAAAGAACCTTTGGTGGTTTTTCCTTTTTTGGTTTGTTCTGCTTCCTTGTCTTGGGCAAACTGTCTTCACCATTCAAATCAAACGGACCGGGTTCGGCAAAGTCCAGCATGTTTGCATTATCATCGGCAATTCCAATACTAGGCATTTTGAGGCTAAATGGATTAAGTTTTTTCTTTGATTTTTTCTCTGTTGAGTCGCTGCTCTTACTTTTGCGCACTTTTTTTAATTCGTAGTCTTTTACCAATGTGCTGGCGCTGGGATCATCATTAAAATATCCAAAAGTCAGATTATCATTATCTAAAACACTATTTTTATTCCTTTTCGATTTCTTTGCTTTTTTCGTGTCGTTTTTAGCAACGTGATTGAAAGCATCATTTGAAGCGTCATTAGGAAGAATATTTTGTGGTTCTAAGTAAAAAACAAATTAGCATTGGGTAAGCAAAACGACAACAAAATGGTAATCACCTGGTTGAGGTGAGTTTTCGCGACTCTGGTATGCGTTTGGCAGCCTCTGCGTGTCTGCAACACGTAAAGTACTTTTAGTTTGTGGATCAGTAGGATTTTTATAAAGTGCGCTGTTGAGAAAGTTTTGAAATGCACGAGATTTTTTTAGTCGTTTGGCAATGAGAGCGCTTTCTGACAAATTAGCTTCATTGGCTTCTTCATCGTCAGCATGAACACGATTCTCATCAGTAAGGTCATCAACTGACTTGCTCATACTGAATCTAAGAACGAGCTTGTTCTTTTGACTTTTGTTCTCAAAAACAGGTGCTTCGCTTTCACTAATATTTGATGTGGCATTTTGTTTGTCCAATACATCTTGACTTTGCTCTGCAGATTGGTAATTCAATTCGGGAAGCGATGAGGATCTTTTGTGCACCAATGAAGGCATCCACTTCTCGTAACTGGTCAAAAAACAAAAGGTTAGTATGATCAAAAGTATACTAAATCCCCTCTGTTATCTACAAACCATTCAGGCCGCTCCTCATCACTCGGTGCACAGTTGTCGATTGCGCGATTTTCTCGACATGGTAATGGAAATATGGGAACCTTTTGAGGAAGTGGTGAGCTATTCACATTCAAAACGTAGTCCCGCAACTGGTTGAGATCAAAATTGATAAATTTAAAGGTCATTGCCAGGTCATCGACATTTGGATCGTTGCGGTCATTGTGATTGGCAAAGTCGACGGCGATTGACGAAATTTTTCGGATGTAATTTTCAAGCAAGTCAGCAAGTACTGTGAGAGCGCCTTTGTGCGCCGTGTGCCAGCCAACATCTTGACAGATCTTGGCGACTACAGCACAGGAAATTTCACTTGAAAAGGTCATTTTTGCCATTTTAGAGCTGAGAGTGAGACACGCCCCGAGACAATGACTAGGACTTGTGCATGTGGAATAAAACAACAATTTGGATAGGCTTGAGATGAAACGTAAGATCACTTTGATTGATGGTAATGTCTACTGGATTTCATTGCTCCGGTAGATAGGCGCCAGTGAAAAGTAATTATAGGGAGCCATTTGGATCGGGTGAGAATCACTTGGATTCACTCGCTCAAAACATTGAGAAACTTCAAATTCACAAAAAATAAACACAATAAAAAGAATATTCATGAATGACGTAACAAGATGCTGCCGAATGCAGCGGTAAACATCTAAAACTGGTTTGAATTTTGAGTTTCTCAAAGGGCGGAATATTGTTTTGCATTGAATTATCATTTCATTGATGAGAAAATGTCAATCAGCAGCAGCAGCAGTTTTCACTGTACAGATCACACTGTACACTGCAATACTAGCACGAATGGAATAATGACAAGCTCGCAAGCGAATTAGCCTCAAAAATACCGGAAATGTGTTTTCTACAGAACTTCACGTTCATATCACATGTAGTGGACGTGCAGTCCTCATCAATGCCCGACTCTTTAATTAATAATTGTTCACGTTTGCTAGTTTCCACTTTCTTAATATTCATTTGCATTTGAAGTCGGATATTTGTTTTCTTCGAGCTCTAATGCCTGCTCTTGCGGTGAAGAAGACTTGACTCGGCTCGGAGCACCACTAAGCGATCTCTGTCTAGACGTAATTAATTGACAGCATGCTGAGAAAGAGCGAAAGAGAAAGGAGAAGATGTGCGATTGGCTTTGCTGGTGGTGGTTGTGCTGGTGGAGATGGTGATGAATGGTCAATGGCGAAGAGTAAGCCGAAGCGAGGAAATTGGTTAGTGAAAGAGAGAAGAAACTCGACAGTATTTAAGCAAACTGAATTCATTTTCAGTCACTCTTCAAACTTTACTCTGTGTTTGTTCATCTGTTGTTCATCTCTTCAGTAGCGAAAATGTTGAAAGTAAGTGAACAGGAAATGTAATATTTGTGATTGTTGTCTTTACCTAACGTTTGCCCATTAGTTTGTCGTCGTCTCTGCTCTGGTCGCTTGTGCGATGGCCTATGGTGGTGGTGGTGGTGGTGGTGCTAGTAAATCTGGCGGTTATTCTTCCTCTTCGGCAGGATACGGAAGTGGTGCAGGTCGAAGTGCTGGTGGTTCTTCTGCTGAAGGCCAAGTCATTCCAGGTATGCTTCTTCACTGTTACTAAATACTTTAGTTTTGTTAATTTGAATGTTGTATATCCGTAGCTGCTATTCAAACTAGACATCAGATCGAATTTAAAGATGTTCCGAGCTCGGGAAATTTAATTCCAACAACTATCGAAGTTGGCGCCGGCCAGATCCCACTTATGATTCTGTTCCGTTCTGCTTCATCAAACCTGAACATTCAGCAGGTGCACGATGGTGCCCAAGGCAGCAACCAAGAGTCACAGTCTGAGGATGAGCC